ATTTGTAAAAAATGTTAAACCATTTATTATTTTCCTTCCACTTCACAATTATGTTCCGCTTTGTGTTGGTTTTTCACATAAAATCCTAATAAAATACATTTTGGTTTTTGGTTGTAACATGACAAAATGTGGAAAATTTCAAGGGTTATGAATACTTTTTCAGCGCACTGTATATACTGGACATTTTTATTTTTTATACTTGTAATGGCGGAGATCAGTGACTTATTGTGGGACTGTAATAGTGTGGTGAGCAATCTAACACTAGCTGATGCTGGCTGGGAGGTATGCTAAATGACACCAACCTCAATAGTGATACTAATACAGTGATCTGTGCTAATACTAAACCCTGTTGCTGTACTAATGACACTAGCTGGAAAGGGGTTTACCAACACGGAGCTCTGTTCCATGAAAGGCGATCAGCGGGTCCCGGCGATCAGTTTCTGTCCCACTAATCCGCTTGTGCTGTAATGCAATGCAGCATAGCTGAGGCATCGGGCACGTGCCCCACCTGGAAGCACTGATGACTTGCCAGATAGGTGATCCAATGCAGAGCGGCCTCCCTGCAGTAGTATATCTGCATGGGGTGGTCGGGAAGTGGTTAGTGAATTTCACATCTAAAGCACCATTCTACTAGCAGAAATCCATCTATTGATACACTTTTATTGTGAAAATGTCCTTGCTGGAGTGGCTAGCAGTCTAGGCTGATGTGAAGCTATGATGTGGAAAAGCAGACGGCAGTCCAGTGCATAGGCATTAGTAGTTTAATGTATCTGCTGGAGGAGCTGCTAAATGGTTTCCGGTAACAAATACTCTCTAAAAGCACAGATTGTAGTTTGTGTTTGTCTGCTACCAACAGCATTCCAGAAGAAATGCTAAATTAAAGACAATTGTTTCATTATTAAGAAAGCTCAAGGGAATACAGTATAAATAGCAGAAACAGAACAGAAAGGCAGTCCAAAATGGTATTTATGCGGGAGGCCTGTGCACTTACAGTGCCTTGAAAAAGTATTCATACCTCCTTGAATTTTTCCATATTTTGTCATGTTACAACCAAAAACGTAAATGTATTTTACCAGGATTTTATGCCATAGATCAACACAAAGTGGTACATAATTGTGAAGTGGAAGGAAAATGATATGGTTTCAACATTTTTTACAAATATCTGAAAAGTGTGGCGTGCATTTGTATTTAGCCCCCTTTACTCTGATACCCCTAACTAAAATCTAGTGGAACCAATGGCCTTCAGAAGTCAGCTAATTAGTAAATAGTCCACCTGTGTGTAATGTAATCTCATTATAAATATAGCTGTTCTGTGAAGCCCTCAGAGGTTTGTTAGAGACCATTAGTGAACAAACAGCATCATGAAGGCCAAGGATCACAACAGACAGGTCAGGGATAAAGTTGTGGAGAAGTTTAAAGCAAGGTTAGGTTATAAAAAAAATATCCCAAGCTTTAAACATTTCACGAAGCACTGTTCAATCCATTATCCGAAAATGGGAAGAGTATGGCACAACTGCAAACCTACCAAGACATGGTCGTTTACCTGAGTCCCAATAAATTACATTTGTTTTTGGTTGCAACGTGACAAAATGTGGAAAACTTCAAGGGTTATGAATACTTTTCAAAGCACTGTGCTCAAATACCCCCCCCCCCCCATCCTCCTCCCAGAGAAGATGTACATTACAGACATGACAGTATAGAAGTTCATTATAAGTCTAAACATTTTAACTGGCTTTTGAATAGCACATTTAATATTTGTGTGTACTAAGAACACCATAAAAAAATTAACTCCATGCAGCTTTAAAAGACACAAATATTGAAGCTCCGTATTCAGTAACACATCCTTAAATGTAATCTTTAATCAAACGGTACAAGTACATTTATTTGACTTTGTATCTGGTTCATGTGGTCCTTGTACAGCAGAGTTCAGACTAGGGGAGGGAGAAGCAGCAGAAGGAGACAGTTGGTTGTTACAGGGTGAGGATCATCCAGAGACCTGTATATGTCATTGAACTGCGGTGACGAAAAATCAAGTCTCTTGCCCTGCCAGACAGGACTGTGCTATGTAGCAGAGCTGTGTAAATCTCAGGACTAAAACCGGCCATGTTAATTTTTCACTTCATTCGTGTTCCAGCTGCGACATGCAATTTTTCATGCCCCAATTGAAAGTTCCTTATTTAACATGCTGTTTGTTGTGTTTTTTTTAAGACAAATTAAACAAACTATGACAATCATATGGGCCATTTTCATTTTTTGATCGATAGAACATTTGGTTTTTGACTGTGTGCTTGGCTTAAGTGACAGGCTTGCAAGTCCATTGGCAGGTAAAACCGTTTCCATATGTGTATGTTATCTGTCTGGAGTTCCTTTTAGACAGAAATGTCATTTGAGTGCACTAAACACACAAAAAATTTTTCTTTAACTCTGTGGGGGGAGTTTATGAGCTGTATGCCACTTTTATGTTTGCTGCCCTTTCTTTATTTACAACTTTCATTCATGCTGGATAGTGTAGCTTTCACTATACTGCAGTACTTCAACTATGAGAGCTGCGGCTCTCCTACAAGAAAACCTTGTTCCTCCTTTCCCCTTGTATGCTCAGATTCCTTGTATTCTTTGGATGCATAGCAGATGATAATGTTGGGAAAAGACCCAGGTCCATCCAGTCCAACGTGTATGTGTGTGGTTTCACTTCTAAAATACAGAATACTGTACATGTCCCTGTATATTTTGCTCACCAAAGAAGACTTCTAGTAGTTGTGTGGTGTGTGTTTTTGTTTTGTTTTTTAAATTTGCCAAGAATCCCAGCTGATACCATCACATGGGAAAAAAATGTCCACATTTTTGCTGATCTGATCATAAAGAATCCTCCCAGCAATTTCTGTTTACACTGGATTTTTTTTTTTTTGTCACAAAAATTGCATACGTCAGGCATTAAGGGGGTGGAATTAATTGCTGAAACCGAGTAGAAGTAGATGTTTTCACTTTGGTGGAACGCCACATTCCAGCCTAGTCTGTGGTCCAGGTGTGACAAATTGGCAGGCAGATTTTTTCCGGTCCTCAGCATCTGACCCCAGAGGAATGGTCTGTTCACCTAGAGGTCTTCAACTTTTTCACCTGGACCAGGGATCCTTGGGCTCTTGCAGAGGATGCCCTTTGACTCTACGGGATCAGTTTGACTTAGTACTCAGACCTCATCAAACTCCTGTTGGACTTTCTGTAGGTTCCACCAGATCTTCTGCCATAGGGTCTTGTCAACCATCCTTCTCGGTTGCTGACATTAACAGAGTGGCTGTTGAAGCCCATGTCCTAAGGAAAATGGATCTCCTGAGCTCAGCCATCCTTACACTCCTAAAAGCTAAGAAATCGACTTCAGCAAAGTGTGCAATCCCACCTGAAAGGCCTATTTTGCCCCAGGAAGTACTCTATTGGATGAATTTTGTCTTTCCTCTGGTCTGGATCAGCATTTGTTTTTAACTGGAAGATGGGCCTAACTATAACTAGTCTTTAAAATGTTCCATCCTCCTGCCTAACCTGTATAAAAAAGATGTGTGTACTTGCCTATTTTTAATCCACTCCTGTCCAGTTATGTGATCCCGCAGCTCTGGCTCCCCTGTGTCAGTAAGCGGCTGCTGAAGAGGAGAGGAGGCAGTGCTGACTTGGGAGCTGCAGGATCATGTGACTAGAGTGGATTGAAAATGGGTAAGTACACAGATGTTTCCACTTATGTAATGGAATTAGGAGCATCTCAGCTGCTGTTGCTATGGTGGGGGGGGGGGGGGGGGGGGGGGCACTGCACATGCATGGGGTTTTGAAAAAGGGGATCGCTCACTACTGTGATGCTGTCTGCAAGCATCTAATGGCTGGAGCATCCTGGCAACAAGGCATAAGGAAATGCTAGCTATGCCATTGTTTTTGTTTTTTGTTTTTTTTTTTTTGCCACAAATGACCTTCAGGTATAACCGTTAAATTAATCAGCAATTTTTCAGGTGTGTGTTTTATCTGTAAATACACACGGTGATATAATAGACTGTGGTGACTGATATATCACTTTTCCCAGGTCGAATATTTTGAGTACAGGCAGTCCCCGGGTTACGTACAAGATAGGGACTGTAGGTTTGTTCATAAGTCGAATTTGTTCATAAGTTGAATCAGGCACTTTTATAAGCACTAACTACTAACCAAACGACAGGATATTAGATTACGTTTTTTGTAATAAGGTTACAGAAAGCAGTAAAACCTCAAGAGGCTCTAAACTGGTGTTTTGCATAAGAACTGCAGCTTGGACACATGTTTGCCTTAACATATTTAACTTTTATGTTTTACATTTTACATGCTCCATTATTCTACTCTTATCTTTTAAAATTGTTGAAATTGTTGACGGAGCATAACCATATGCTTTGCAAATGGATGATGATTTTTCACCACTCTCTGATCTCTTTATTATTTCTACTTTATCTTCCAAGGAGATTGTTTTTCTTTTCTTTGCTGTGCCAGCACTTGCATCAGCTTTTTGCTTTGGAGGCATTATTGCAGGGTAAAAATACACTGTACTGTAATGTACTGTATGAGAGAACTCTGCTCTCCTTTACACAGCACACGCTGCCCCCTCCCCCTGCACAGACGGAGGATCACTTCAGTGAGCAGCCTGACAGCCTCTCCTTTCCTCTCCCCGGAGGTGCAGACAGACAGTCTTAAATCACTTTGGAGATAGTGGGCAGACACTGCTAGCCCCACAAGTAACGAGCAATGGATGTCTCTGTCTCTTATGTCTCTCTGATGTCTCTTATCAGCTAGTCTCTTATCAGCTTGCTGCACAAGAATGCTGACAGCTTGACTTCCGGTCCAGAGGGAAGTGTACGTAAGTATGAGTATTACGTAAGCCGAATGTACTTAACTCGGGGACTGCCTGTACTAATGAAATGGTACTTTTTTTTAGCTTGACATCTAGATTCTGATGTATTTGTGAACTGAACTTTTTTTTTTTTTTTCCTATTCTACAGATTTTAGTACTTTGCAGTTAGAGTTTTGTTCACTAGACAACTCCTCAATGATGATGAACTCTGACATGGATGGTATGTATCATTGCATGCTTTTTGGATCAGCTGTGCATGACAACCGATCAGCTTCTAACTTTCATTTTCAAAACTTAAAGCCGAACTAAACCCGATTTAACTGTTTCCCAAAACTGTTCTCAACCAAACTGTCAAGACATCAAACGGCTGGTGTCCTAACTGCTGTAGAGCCAGAGGTCAAGATGGCTGCTTCATAGGATAGGAGGTTTTTAAATGAACAAATTGAGGATAGAAGTTGATTGGTTACCTTGCATAGCTGCTTCAAATTCTGCCTGCTCCAGTTTTGATAACTTCTCTTCAATTAATGTAAATGTATGTATTATACAATGAGAAATGAATACCCTTGTATGCCTTGTATTTTTTAATAGAGAGAGAGTTGAGAATGGTTAGAACCTGTGTCTGTTTGGTTTTTTAAGGCCTCGTTCACACCATACGTGCAGAAAAACTGATGGAAACTGACACGCAGATTTCACTTGCAGAGACATCAGTTTACATCATTTTTTCATGTGCTCTGCAAAGGGTTTTATACACGTTGCAGATTCCTGCGCAGAAATAACCAGCACGTAATACTAGTGTTGTGGTGCAATCAGGGCACATGTAAAACAATTGATTTCTTTGGGCCCTTGCACGCATGCAGAGAATCTGACATCTCTGCACCATGGTGTGAACAAGCCCTATTGCTGTGTGTTTTTTACAATTAGGGAAAACTATCACGAGACTAAAATTTAAAGAATATTCAAAGTTTTACATTTGTTGCTGGAATATGAAGTGAGAACACTCCCAATGGTGATAGCTGTCAAAGGGGGAAATTTTCTTCTCACATTAAGAGATTTCCACTCCTCTCCTCTTCGGCCTCTAAGACAGGAATTGCAGGGAGATCTACCCACTGGAGATTTCAACTAAGTCGGTGTGTGTGTGTTTTTAGATCATTTGAAATGTGTTTTTGTAATTAAAATAAAATGCACAAATGTAAAACCGCAAGTTGGGTAACAATGTTTCCAAAAAGGAACCACTGTGTTAGTGACCCGAGGGAGCAATGGTGTTACTCCCCTGCTTATCTAATAGTACTTTGACCCAGTGGTTACCTGCTAGACCTGGGCGCTGTCATGTGGGAGCAGGTCACTTGCTCCTCCATACCTGGAAATGCCAGGTTTTCTGGTCGCCTAGGGAGGAGCAAAGCACTGCAAGGAACCAGAGGAAGTACACCTATATGTATTCCAGGAATATCTCAATAAAATATTTATTTTATAAATTATTTTTAGAAATTATACATTTTTGCTTTTTAATTCTTCTTTTTTTTTTTTTTTTTTTTTAAGTTATTTTGCTACTTGAAACAGTTCAGCAGAGTCTGCTTTTGCAGCTGCCCACAGATGAGCAACCTATTTGTTGCCTGTACATTAGAACATACTATAGTCATCTTGCTAGTGTGAGTTTGGTTATAGATATAGCTGAATTTAACAAGAGTGTTTAGCATCAGACCTTCAGACTTCATTTTGCTTGGGTTATTTTTTCCCCATATGTGTAGACCGCACGTGTTCAGCTTGTAACTTCACCCATACAAATATTCTTTACTCTAATCTGAATCCTATTTTCATTTATTTATAGCTCTGGAAGTAGAAAATCAAGTCGAATTAGAAGAAAAGACTCGACTGATTAATCAGGTCCTGGAACTGCAGCACACTTTAGAAGGTAACAACATTCTGCATCTGTTTCTATTCAAGTTATTTACTTAACGTCCGTTTTTTTTTTTTTTTTTTTTTTTTTTTTTTCTTTTTTATGTGAATGTGTGTTTCAGTATAACAAAAACAAGCTTATGTTATGATACAATGTAAAAATAGTGAAAGTCTTTCTGCAGTCAGATTAGTCAATAATGAAATCTGATTGGTGGAGTTAGAGTTGCTCACTCATTTTGGGTTAAGTCAAATAACATTCTTGACTGCATTTAAAAGGATTCAACTATGCTTTCATCTCCTGCCAGAAATGTACTGCTTATGATTGATTTTGTTTTCCATTAAACGCAGTATTTGCCTGCTGTGTATAGCTTGTTGTACTGTTATCGTAAATGGATCTCATGGCTAGTGATATAACACGCTGTCAAAACATTATGTTGAGATTTTTTTTTTTTCTTTAAGTCTGCAGTAATTTGAAAGTGTGTTTTTATGATAGTTCTCAGATTAGTCACATGATCTATTGTGGCTGCAAAAGCAAACCTTTTGAGTGAGTGTTCCCCAACCGCACACATACAGTGCATTCAGAAAGTATTCAGACCCCCTTCACTTTCTTTAATTTTATGTTGCAGCCTGATGCAGTACTACAGTTGTTTAAATTCATTTTTTGTTCTCATTAATCTGCATTCAGTACCTCCCTAATGACAAAGTGAAAACAGAATTTTAAAAATGTTTGCAAATTTTATGAAAGGAAAAACTGAAATATCACATTGCCATTAATATTCAGACCCTTTGCAACAAGACTTGAAATTGTAGCTCGGGTGCCTCCTATTTCTCTTGATCATTGCTGAGATGTTTCTACACCTTGCCTGTGGTAAATTAAATTGATTAGATGTGATTTGGAAAGGTGCACACATTTCTCTATAAAAGGCCTCACAGCTGACCATGGATACTCTATCAGAAAAAAAGGAACTGCCTGCAGAGCTCAGAGACAGGATTATTGTAAGTCAGATCAGTGGAAGGCTACAAAAAAAGGTTCCCAGGAGCACAGCGACCTCCATAATTCTCAAATGGAAGATGTTTGGCACAATCAAGACTCTTCCAAGAGCTGGTCGCTCGGCCAAACTAAGCAGTCGGGAGAGAAGGGCCTTCGTAAGAAAGGTGACCAAAAACCCAATGGTCACACTGGGGTTCATTTACTAAAAACTGAAGAGTGCAAAATCAGACTAACTGCTGCATAGAAACCAATTCGCTTCTAACCTCAGCTTGTTCAATTAAGCTTTGGCAATAACACCTAGAAGCTGATTGGTTTATAGGCAGAAGTGAGTCTGATTTTGCACTCTCCAGCCTTAGTAAATAAACCCCACTGTCCCATCTCCACACAGGATCTCTGGAGCTTGGTCAGAGTGACTATCAGGTTATTGGTCACCTAAGTCCCTTCTCCCTCAATGTAAAGGCTAAAGCGATGTCATGTGACATATGATGTGCTATGGTTTTTAACCCAGACTGTGCTGCAATAACAGCAATCGCATGACTTAGGAAGTAAGTCATGTATAGTAATACATGGCTTACTTATTTAGCTGAATGAGGAGTATGCATACTTTGGCGGCAACCCTGCAGAGGTTCTACAGTATGAGCCTGCAGAGTGTTGCCACCAGAAAGCAGGAAGCCCTAGTAACAGCAGGATCATCAAGTAATTTCTATTAGAAGAGAGATTAAAATCTAAGTGCACAGATAGCCAGCCAGTCTTCCTTCTTTTTTCCTTCCTCTTTGGAACATGTTACATGTTCCACCTGTTTTTAGGGTGTAACATGTTGCCATAGCAGCAGAAGCTTCCCCGTATTATATGTCACGGCCGCGTCATTCATTCACAGAGTTCTGTGAATGAGTGCCTACAAGTCCCAGCAGCCTTAGCGGCTGTCGGCTTGTAGTTTTCAGTGAACTACAACAGCTCTGTGGAGAGCCGTGGTAGTTCATTGAAGCTTCCGGTCAGAATATCTGCTTGCTTGTACATCCCGTACGGCAAGCAGATATTCTGGGAGACTTGCATGGCCTCAGTGATCTACTGATTGCTGGTGCAATGCTTTACTGGCTCATTTGGACAAAAATAATAAATGCACATTTTTTTTTTTTCTGCAAAAAAATATGCCTTTTTTTTATTTTTGTCCAAAAGGTGAACATAAAAGGTCTTGTTAGGGATCTTCCTGTTTATAGGATGATACTCTGGGGGTTATTTTACTAAAACTGGAGCGTGCAACACTGCCTAGAAACCAGTCTGCTTCCAGGTTTTATTGCCAAAGGTTAGTTAAACAAACTGAAGCTAGAAGTTGATTGGCTACCATGCACAACTGCGTTCAAATCGGAGTGCTTCAGTTTTAACCACCTCCCGCCCGCCATATAGTAATATGACAGAAGGTGGTTCTCTCGTTCTGGGAGGACGTCATATGACATCCTCCCATTCTCACCACGTATGCGCGGCTCAGGGAGCACACAGCGCTGCGATCGGCGGTGTGCTGTGTCCCTCGGATACAGCGGATCACGGAAAGAGCTGAAGATGTTGGCTCGGTCATGTGATCAGCTGTGTCCAATCACAGCTGATCACATGTAAACAGGGAAATGCCGGTTATCGGCATTTCTCTCCTCTCGAGCTGTCACGCTGACAGCTCGAGAGGAGAGCCAGTAATCGGCTTTCCGCGGAGGGGACATGTACACTGATCATTGGAGCACTGATGATCAGTGTGCCCTGATGATCAGTGTAGCCCCAGCAGTGCCACCTGTCAGTGTCCATCAGTGCCTTGTGTCAGTGCTTATCTGTGCCTCGTGCCAGTGCCACATCAATGCCACATATCAGTGCCCATCTGAGCTGCCTTTCAGTGTCACTCGTCAGTGCTGCCAGTCAGTGCCGCCTAACAGTGCCATGTATCAGAGATGCCCGTCAATGCCCATCAGTGCAGCCTATCCATGCCCATCACTGCAGCCTCATTAGCGCACATCAGTGAAGGAGAAAAATCATTTATTTTCAAAATTTTATAACAAAAACTAAAACTTTTTTTTTTTTTTTTTTTTTGCTTAAGAAAAAATAAACCCAGAGGTGACTAAATGCCACCAAAATAAAGCTCTATCTGTCACAAAAAAATTATAAAAATTTCATATGGGTACAGTGTTGCATGACTGTGCAATTGTCATTCAAAGTGCAACAGCGCTGAAAGCTGGAAATTGGCCTGGGCAGGAAGGGGGTATAAGTGTCCTGTAGGCTTATGTTTAATAAATATCTCCCACTCTATCCCTGTCCATCAGTTGCTCTCCTGCGCTGTCATCCTCTGACACATACACTATATTGCCAAAAGTATTGGAATGCCTGCCTTTACACGCACATGAACTTGATTGGCCTCCCAGTCTTAATCTGTAGGATTCAATATTGAGTTGGCCCACCCTTTGCAGCTATAACAGCTTCAACTCTTCTGGGAAGGCTGTCCACAAGGTTTAGGAGTGTGTCTATGGGAATGTTTGACCATTCTTCCAGAAGTGCATTTGTGAGGTCAGGCACTGATGTTGGACGAGAAGGCCTGGCTCGCAGTCTCCGCTCTAATTCATCCCAAAGGTGTTCTATTGGGTTGAGGTCAGGACTCTGTGCAGGCCAGTCACATTCCTCCACCCCAAACTCGCTCATCCATATCTTTATGGACCTTGCTTTGTGCACTGGTGTGCATTCATGTTGGAACAGGAAGGAGCCATCCCCAAACTGTTCCCACAAAGTTGGGAGCATGAAATTGTCCAAAATGTCTTGGTATGTTGACATCTTAAGAGTTCCCTTCACTGGAACTAAGGGGTCAAGCCCGACCCCTGAAAAACAACCCCACACCATAATCCCCCTTCCACCAAACTTTACACTTTACACCACTGCATCCGATGCTTTGCATTGCACTTGGTGATGTAAGGTTTGGATGCAGCTGCTCAGCCATGGAAACCCATGCCATGAAGCTCTGAAGGGTACACAAAGTTTGGAGGTCTTTAGCTACTGACTCTGCAGACAGTTGGCGACTTCTGCGCTTTAACATGCGCTGACCCCTGCGACGGGCACAGCGTCAGACCCCAGACCTTCTCACCAAACTCGTGACCGAAGGACTAGCCAATCTAAAACCGCAATGTCACGTGCGTAACAATGCCATGTCCAGCTGCACCCTGCACACCGATTTTCCAGCTAATTGGACCACAATCTATGTACCAGCAGCCTGGGAGCGTTTGTTACTGGGTCAGGTTAATTACTCAATTAACCCTTCACACTGCCACCACCTCCTTTTTGTACAGAGAAAGAGGAAACTCAGCAATACACTAGGATGATTGGTTAATCGTCGGTATACTGCTATCTCCGTGGACAGGTTATTCAGGGGGTTAAACACTCATAGTAGCGCTCATCAGTGGCAGGGATTCGTAAGTCACATTCAAGAGCTATAAAAGGTCAAAAGGGTGCAGTAAAAAATATTTACAGAAAAAAAAAAGCTGTAAACTCACACACTCACACACTCTTTAAGTAAATAAGTACTTGCCGAAAGATGCCTGGGGTTAAGCAGTTTCAAGTCTGATGAGCTAAAAAGGGATTTCTGGTCTCGCACTCAGTTTCGTTGTTACAGCAAGATTCCCCTTTCTCTCTGTCTACTAGATGTTAAAACGCAGAAGGTCCTCACTTCTGTGTCTACACACAATACAGAACAGCCCCTTTCCTACCCAAAATCAACGGGGTGTCTCTTACAACAGAACCCAATTGCCTTATTTGGTAAAAGGATTGTATAAAGGCAGGGACTAGCAAGGTACGCTGAACACATTCCTGAGGGAGGGGGGAAATCGGAGGAGGAAGACTGATTTGGAATTTAAGAGAAATACCAAAAATGCAGAAGTTTGGAGCAAAATGGAGAACCGTGCCTCTCCCTGTGTGCACGATTGTTACAACCGCCGCTCTGCTATTTTATGTTGCCTACCACTTTGTGGCTGAGTTGCTGTTGTTCCCAGTTACTTCCATTTATAATACTACTTTGTTATAATACCACTAACAGTTGACAGTGGAATATTTAGTAGCAAGGAAATTTCACGGATGGACTTATTGCACAGGTGGCAACCTATCACAGTATCACGCTTTAAGTCACTGAGCTCCTGAGAGCGACCCATTCTTTCACAGATGTATGTAGAATCAGTCTGCATGCCTAGGTGCTTGATTTTATACACCTGTGGCCATGGAGGTGATTGGAACACCTAAATCCATTGACTTGGCGGGGAGTCCCAATGCTTTTGGCAATATAGTATACTTCAGAGACTAAAAGCTGTCTTGACACCCAGTGCCCAGGCATGTTCTGCTATTGTCACCATCAGGAAGCCCACAGCAGTGACATGAAGATGCCATTGGAGGAAGTGCTTGTACACAGGAAATGGCTGCAAATAAGCTGGAGAAAATCTGCAATGTTTAAAGGCAAAACGTGATGAAAATGATATTTCCCAAATCGTCTTCCAGGACAGCCCACGGAGGAGATGCATCATTTGGAACCTGTGTGAGGGATGCCTCTGTATCTCTAACTATCATTTTCTTCCACCTAGTACTATACCTACCTTGCTCCACTGGGAGCAGCTAGTAGGATATACTGCAAGATTGCCCTCCAGGACCACTCCTCACTATTAGAAGGTGGTAGATTGGTTCCCGTTCTCCTTCTGTGCCTGGTGAAGGCCTTGTCTGGAAGGCACACACCACATTGACAGGGACCAGCAAGGGGCAGCATGGGTTTCCAGTCTGGGTTTCTGGGTGCGTGCACTGTCTTCACTATAGGACACTTTGGTGGGGACGCATGTGGTAGCTGCATTGGTTTTTGGCCTAACTGTGTTACTGTTTGACCAGATGATGCAGGGGCATTAATCCGGGCGCAGTGAAGTCCTTTCCAGGTGCCAGAGACTCTGGTTCCAAGCTTTGTTTTTGGTGCAGGGGAACTGGTAAGGGTGGCTGATGCCTTTTTAATAATAGTTCCCTCCAGCAGAGGCTGTTGAGACGCTAAAGGTGGAGGAGCTAATACTGCATTTTGGATTCATCAATGCAGACTATAGCTCAGGCGGATACAGGTGCTCTTGGCACCAGCAGCACATGGGTAAGCTGGAGGTTGCTATACCTACCCATTTTCATTTGTTTTTGCTCCTAGGTTTTCACCTAGCCTGTAATGTCACTTGGGGCCCCTGGGTGATTGGGGCTTAATGTGACAGGGCACTGTTGGGCTCCCTCTATTTACCACAGTGCAGGAAGTGCCCGATGCAGCTCGGTGTGCGAGCGTGCCTCCCTGCAATTTGTTTTGGTCTGGTGTTGCACCCTGTTACACTATCCAGGGGTCTCCAAGCTATGGCCCTCCAACTGTTGAAGTACTACAAGTCCCATTGTGCCTCTGGGAGACTTGCCTATGGCTGTCAGTCTTACAAGGCCTCATGGGACTTGCAGTTCCTCAACAAATGAAGAGGGCCATAGTTTGGAGACCCCTGAAGCCCTTGTCAGGACATGTCTTACTGATGTACTTCTGATGTTGTCCATCCCATACCACAGTGTTAACCTCTGTCATGACTTTCTATCTATATGTCAGGATAGTCCTACTTTTGCAGATTTAAATAATGTCTTCTGCGACTTTGTAACATTTTGTTTGGCAGAGTTGTGCAGCCAGTTTGTGTGTTTTTTAACACTAGGACCTAAAGGGCATGTGTGGTTCTTGTGCTGTTTTGGTGTTATCCATCCTAGACCACAGTTTTTAAACTTCTACTTGACTTTCTTGTAGTGTATGTGTAATCTGTTTGGAACATATAGAGCATGTCCTGGGATTGCTCTGCAGCACTAGTGTAATGGTGTAACCATTAACACTGCATCTTTTTACATGTACTTTACTTTACTGGAGTGTTGCAGCAAATTTACATTTATAACCTCAAGTCCATTTTGCATGTCATGCGCTGTACTTATGCATTTTGGGTGGGGTCTACCTTGTATCCCAATGTTCTACGTCTTCCATGGCATCATGTGTAGATGGTGTGATGGCTTATATTGCTGTCTTTATGTGCTGTCTGTGCTTGTGCTACAACAAATTGGTACGGGATATAACCTTACTTTACACATGTCGCAGGTTGTCTAGTTACATGGTAACAAGTGTGCATGCCTGGGATATGTTCTGTATTTGTGTCATTACAGACTTCATTTCAAGTTTGTATCCTGGCTCTGTTTGCACTGCCACAGCTTGGGATTCGGCTTGTGAGGCCCCTGGTGGCATGTGCGGTCCCATGCTGTTTGGTGGGAGTGGTTTTATTTAGCTCTACTGTTTTCGCTCCGACTTTGGAGGGGGTTTCTGTACTACTTCGGGGCGACTTCTATCAGACTTGTGCCTATAAACTTTGAAGTCTCCTCCAAGTCAGATCCTCGTCTATATTGATGTGATTTGGATCTGACATTACAGGAAGATTACCCAGGCGGGGTCACATGGCATGAAAGTCGCATAAGGTTGCCGGGAAGTCTGGCAAAGTCGCACAACTTTGAGGTCACAGTAGCTTGAGCCTAACTCCTAGCTGATTATGTTTCTACTATTTATGGTTGTCAGTTACCTTGATGACGTTATGCATCGCTATACTCCCCCACAGAAACAGGGTGCATTTGGAGGCTTGTTCTAGTGGATTTTTGGCATCCCCTAATATTCTTGAAGTACTGTAGTTGTGTTGGTATTTTAAAATCAATACCCTACTGCCTAGTCTTTTCAAGTGTCAGTTGGTGCACAGTACCTTTTTGGGGTATCTGCGTTGTCTCCATGCAGCAAATTTTGTGCATAACTTGTTGTTCTTGCACAGTAGAGATTAGCATGGTTCTCTGAATGATAATGTGTGTCTCAAGGCATTGGGCTTTGTCACATTCATATACAGCAGTGTTTCTCAACTCCAGTCCTCATGGACCCCCAACAGGTCATGTTTTCAGGATTTCCCTCAGATGAAACAGCTGTGGTAATTACTAAGGCAGTGAAACTGATCAAATCATCTGTGCAAAATAATGGAAATCCTGAAAACATGACCTGTTGGGGGTCCATGAGGACTGGAGTTGAGAAACACTGATATACAGGGATGTAGGTGGTGGCAAGTCACTAGATGTATGCTTTTGTAGCGGATCCTTATGTGCTTATATTCTATAAAGGGTGGGGTTTTTCATATCGCCACCATAGTTCAGATCTAGTTATTCCATGTAGAATCTGTTGGGGTCTTTTTCCTTTGCTGTCAAGGCTCCACCTACAGTGTTCTTCAATTACGGTACCCTGTTTCTTTAGCCACACAGGCTTCAGGGGCATTCATCTGTCCTTAGTTGACCAGGGCCTCACTAAAGCTGTTTTGTTTTTTCTTGTTTTTTTTTATCCTGTGTAACTTTGAGCTCCTATTTCCTGATATGTCTTAGTTTTACTTGCAACCAGGTCTCCGTCCTTAGTTTTCTCCCTATTGAGAATTTTAATATAATTGGGATCACCATATACAGTATATATTTATGCTAATCCCAAGGGTAAAGTATTAAAAGGCTTTGGGTTTTTAGTGACCCTCCCTAATCTAGTAAGTTATTGCTAATCATCTCATCCTGGGCTATCCTGGAAGACGGTTTGGGAAAACCGGAGTTAGACTTACCAGTAACTCTATTTCCAGGACAGCTGGATTCCCGCCCTTGTGTTGTTTTCTGTTTGTATATGTATTACTCAGGTTTTGTCCTTTTGGTTCTTGTTTAAAAAAAGAGGTCCCTCTGCTGAACTGATCAGTTTTAAAGGGCATTTGGTGATGTGTTTCCTGTTCCTGTTGTAGGAGGTGCCTGTATCTCATGGGCAGTCCTGGTATTACTACCAGTCTAACTCTGGTTTTTCTAAAGGAGAGAAAAAAAAAAGTCATTTTTGATAGACCGTGCTTTAGCAAACTAAATGCCACCTAGTTAGGGTTTGGATTAGTTATGCCTTGAGAAAACAATAGAGCTCATTGAAGTTAAAAATTGTAGGTAAATAAAAGATTGTGTTTTATAGATGTAAAATAGGCATGTATTTTAAGTAAGCTTGTACTATTCGATATAGCTTTGCATGGGGTACAGGTTACACTGGTAATGTTTTGTCTACATACAGATCTCTCAGCTCGCGTTGATGCTGTTAAAGAAGAAAACCTGAAGCTCAAGTCAGAAAACCAAGTTCTTGGACAGTATATTGAGAACCTCATGTCGGCCTCCAGTGTCTTCCAAACAACAGACACAAAGAGCAAGCGAAAGTAGTGTATTTTTGCCCTCCACTGGTTTTACTTGTACAGTACCTGAGTAGCATATGTGGGTCCAGTTTGTATAGAATGTGCATTCAACCAGACAGTACTTCTGTAGATTGGGTTCTATGTATAGTGACTGCACAAACAATACTACGTTAATAAAACGGCTTCACTGTTTTTTAATATATTAACAACAACAATAATATAAGGTAACAGGAAACCAAAGGCCAACACATGCAGTTTTGAAGTTTCACAATATCTCTATTTTAAAATTTAAAGCTTTACACTGGTATCCTTGTAGCTGTAGTAATACAATTTAGTCAGATAAATTATTTTTAAGGGTTTTTCTTGGTTAAAACTCCAATGTGGATGCTAAACGTTTTCTTTTGTTTGTGCCTGCAAAAAAATGACACTACATCTACACTAAATGGATCTTGTTATAATCCATCAAACAAGAGCCTAACTCATTTGTTTTAGATGTTTTATATGTGAAATATTGAGAACAGTTCAGTCTAAAAATCATTCTGCTATTTCAGATGTATATTATCTCCCGCATCTAATGTTCAATTTTTTTGCATAAGCATGGATTTTCTATGCAGCCATCTCGCACTTTCCTTGCAGCCCTTGGCTAGTTTTAGCATTTAAAAGAAACCAGTTTCAAAAAAACCATGGAGGAAGCAAGCCATTGCCAATTTCCTCTTGAGAAAATGTTTTTTGTCTGGCTGTCATGTTCCCCTCTTGCTCCTTTTATTTTGTGTCATTGACTTAGAACAAATTAGGTAAGGAGTTTTGCGTACTCCCTAGGTTCAAAACGTTGAGATACTGACCTGGAAAAAAACTGCCAGGTTTGGAAAGTCAGAACAAGCTGACAGCAGAGAGAGATCAATAATGACAGCCTGCTTATCTTCTTCTATGACTGGTTTACTTTAAGTGAATTGTAAAAAAAAAAAAAAAAAAAAAATTAAAAAAAACACAAAAAACAACTAAAAAAGGTACAACCAAAATGAGCTACTGAAAAATTTTAAGTATCCACAATTAAATTCAAATTGCATCATATACTTGGTAAATTGCTTAGAGGTGATGTAGCAGATCTCCCTTTTGAGTATGTGTAGCCTTTCCAGGACCAGTGAAAGCGTTTGCCAAGTGCCCCACTCCAGTCAACATTCCGCTTTGTGAGTGTGATTTACTTGCAGTAGAGAACAGGTGATAACCCTTTGTGGTCATACACATCAGGATAATGAAAGAGTCTCTTTCATAATTTCACACTAAAGCAGGTAAACTTTACTAGGTATCACCGAGGCATCGTTTTCTGGTAGGTGCCTTTTTTTTTTTTTTTTTTTTTTTTTTTTTAAATGAATAAGAAATAATTTGGCATCCACATTAGAGATTTATACATTTTTGTAACTTTAGTTTACAACATCCACTTAAAGCATAAAAATTAAAATCTACTCCTGTAATTTCACTACATTTATTTAAAAATGGCAAATCATTTTTATTTGTACATGCAGTTTCGAATCTCCTAGGTATGGTATAAAGGTATACTAGTCATTGGCTGCAAGATCAGTTTTACCCTTTAAGGATCTTTTGTAGCTTTAATTTTTTTTTTTTTTTTTTTTTTCTCCTATTCTGCAGTCCCTTTTAAATTATTTAATGACACCTTTCCAGCCTTTTTGGCTGCTTGGTTTGTATCACGTGAGAGTAATGCTGCCTTGTAAGATCAGAACAGTATTCACTGTAAAATATTGTTGTGTGTAAGTGTTCATTTTAGCAAATGTGTATTTATTTTTTGTGTCAAAATATGTTTGATTCTTTCAGTTTGTTTACCAAACACCAGGGATGGTGTTAGATATTTGCACCTAGCAAGATTTTAATTCTAGGCTGTGAGCGGCTAATCTGCACATCTTGCTTGCTAGTGTGTAGGAAATTCCTGGGATTGGGAAGTAGTGACAATACATTACATGACTTCCTTTTTTTTTTTTTTCCCCTCATTCCATTGCAGTTATGTAGAGAAGAAGCCCGTTTGATATATTTTATACCTGACCATTAATTGCCAACATAAGTAAATGTCTTGTTTATAAAAGGAGCCATACTTCCTACAGTGCCAATCATGGCTGGGCATTTTCTTGAGGAGCACATGTATTACAGTAGCACGTGTATGGAAAACAAGGAGTAAAGGGATTTGGTGAGATGTAACTCAGTAATTACTATACTGACAAGTTTACATCCTTAGTTATTAGAATTCATTCTGTAAGAGAAATCTGAAATAAAGTGTTTTTTTTATTTATTCCATTCCTCTGTGTTACTGTCTTTATTCAATATGAGGCGTTTATGGCAATTTTCTATATCTTTTGTGTTTGAGCAACTCCAGGCAGATAGTAAAAAAAAAAAAAAAAAAAGTTCTATAGTTATGTATTGATAAAAAATGATTCATAAGTATCTGGTTTATTTGAAGTGCTCTGTGTACTAAAACTCCGGGAAAGGTAGTATTTTTTTTTTTTTTTTCATTGAGGGTACAGTCACACCACATGTGGTGGGACTGGCTTTGGGCAGCTATTCTAGCACAGTCCCACTGCATGATGAGGCAAAATGCCCTTATTTCCACATCTGCCTGGTTCACATTGTTGCAGTGGTGTGTGGGCAGTGCAAAAAAGTACTGTATGCAGTCTTTTTAATTTTTTTTTTTTGTTCAGTATGAGGCAATCCACTGCCTTGCACTGTGTGGCTAACAATTGATCTTTGAGATGTCTGTGTAACTTAATAATTAGTTTAAAAAAGGGAGTAATGTGATGTGCCGAGATTGGCCAGGGTGACGTAATTCCTGTGCATGTTTACACAATTGTATTTGCCAAATACAATTAAAGTATTTAAATACTTAACTGCATTAATATTGGGTCTTTTTAATAAGTCTGGCGTTCAGGTTCTATATATTTTATAGAAGGAAGCGTGTACTAGTAAACAAAGAAGTAGAGTTGCAAACCTTGCTCAATTCTGGAAGAGGATGCTAAACAGAAGAATGATTCAAACTGCCTTGGTAAAGGAACATAGAGTACTAGCAAGACCACTGTTCGCATAAGTGACCTCGGATAGAGCAGTGAGGATGGGGGCAGCACCAAGCCTTGGAAATTAGATATTGCCAGTGCCACTCCGTTATAGTGAATATTGCTTGCCATAGGTTCAGGAGAAAGAGGAAGAGTGCTCCAAAAACATCACATGACAAGCCAAAAGACTTTTTTTTTTTTTTTAATGTGTAGATAATTTCATATTACTCTCTGGAAGAATGGTGTCCCCACTGGAGTATTTGCATTTTCCCTCACTTCTTGCATTTCCCCCCTAAAATTTTGTATTTTTTGGTGAGAAGGGTAAGCAGGGAAGTGATCTCCTCGAAGGGAAGACATACAGCAATAAAAACCTGACTGAAGGTTTAACCCTTTCCCATATACTGTGAAAAAGTATTCATTACCCCTTGAAATTTTCCACATTTTGTCATGGTACAACCAAAAACTTCACTATTTTATTGGGATTTTATGTGATAGACCAACACAAAGTGGCACATATTTGTGAAGTGGAAGGAAATTGATAAATGTTTTTTTATAAATATCTGAAAAGTGTGTTGTGCATTTGTATTCAGCCCCCGGAGTGGATACTTTGTAGGACCACCTTTTGCTGCAATTACAGCTGCAAGTCTTTTTGGGATGTCTCTACCAGCTTTGCACATCTAGAGTGAAATGTTTGCCCATTCTTTACAAAATAGCTCAATCTCTGTCAGATTGGATGGAGAGCGTCTGTGAACAGCAATTTACAAGTCTTGCCACAGATTCTCAATTGAATTTAGGTCTGGACTTTGACTGGGTCATACTAACACATAAATATGCTTTTGATCTAAACCATTGCATTGTAACTTGCTGTATGTTTAGGGTCCTAGTCCTGGTGGAAGGTGAACCTCCACCCCAGTCTGAAGTCTTTTGCAGACTTTTTTTTTTTTTTTTTTTTTTAATTTAAACATTTATTAGTTTTCAACATATTAGGAAATTTAAAATCCACAATACAAATTCTTTGCATTCATATATATATATAAAAAAATATATATATATAAAAACCAAATTATTCATTTCCCATATTTTCTTTTTTTTTTTTTTTTCCTTCCCATCCCTTCCCTTAGCATATCTAAGATCACCCCCCACCCCTCCCTTTTGTCTTCCTCTCATAAACACTAGAAAAAGGCCTTAAAGATGTTCTAATTACAGATGGGTAGGAATAAAGAGACTTCTTTTTTTTTTTCCTTTTTTTATCTATTCACTTTTGATCTTAACTCTTCCCATTTTTTCCATTTCGCATAATATGTCGCCAACCTATCTTCTTGAATATAAAATAATTTTCTCCAATCTAACAATATGGTCCACTCTATCTATCCAGTCTTCCTCTTTTAGAACTTCCAATTGACGCCAAAACTTTGGGATCAAACCCTTGCATTTAAGAAGTACCCTACACCTGATTCTTTATATTTATTTACTGATAATTCTGTATTATGTAAAAGGCAAGTTCCCGGGTCCAAACTAATATCAGTTTTCGTAATCTTTCTAATTTGATGCACCACTCTTCTCCAGAATATTTGTATCTTTGGACATTTCCACCATAATTGATAGATCGTGCCTATCTCTCCACACTCTCGCCAACACAAAGGTGATTTCTCCCCACTCACTTTATGCTCTATACTCGGTGTAATATATCCTCTTGTCAAACATTTGTAATTCATTTCCACCTCCCGTGCACTTATATTCTCGTGAACCAATCTAAATATTTTCCTCTGTTTACCCTCATCTATCTCCACCCCCAAATCTCTTTCCCATTTTTCAATATACTTTTAATTTTTTTCCCCCTATATCTAACTCAGTAAGAATTTTATATATTTTTTTGCCGTGCCATGCTTTCCATCACCCCGTGATTCCAACAGCCTCTCAAAAAATTCCAGTCTGCTCTAGTTCTCAAAGGCTTAGGTAATTTCTCCACAAAACA